ACAACTCACTACCACCTACTATTCCTCTCGCAACATACATTCCCACTACAAGCTAACCTCTATTAAATGCGTAACCATAAGTAACCAAAGGTGAAATAGATACCCGAACAGATGATCCTACTCTAGTGCCATAGTCAAACAAGGAACATGCAAGAAAGCCTAGATCAATTACCCAATATGCCTAAGGAACTGGAAATAATGAGTCGAGTCCCATATGATTATTCTATAGGATCGATCATGTATGTAATGACATATACTAGACCCGATGTCTCATTTGCTCTAAGCATGGTGAGTCAATATCAAGAGAATCCTAGCAACCGTCAGTGGACGGTTGTAAAAAATATCCTCAAGTATCTGAAAAGAACTAAACATATGCTATTAGTATATGGAGGTAAAGTAGAATTACGAGTTACAGGTTATGCATATGCAAGTTTCTAGACTGATAGGGACAACTCGTGTTTGCAGTCAGTTTGGGTGTTCTTGTTAAATAGAGAAGTCGTTACATGGAAAATTTCCAAGTAGAAGACGGTGGCGAATTCAACATGAGAGTCTAACTATATTGTGGCTAGTGAATCAACAAAGGAGGTGACATAGTTGAAGAACTTCATCGATGATCTTGTAGTTGTGGAAAGTGTCAAAGAATCAATGAAGGACTTTTATGATAACGAGGGTGTAGCCTCCTTGACTAAAGAGCACAAAGATCATGGTAATTTAGACACATAAAGAGAAAGTATCATTACGTCTAACATAAAGTAGAAACCATAGACATCCTCGTCAGTAGAGTATCAACTGAGGAAAATCCTGGTGATCATTTCACGAAACCACTTTCAAAAGAGGAATATGATGGTCATGTGATTTAATGTAATAGCTTAGTTGTTTAGCTGTTTAGTTGTTTACTTTAAGTTATTTTGGAACATTTTGGTTGTATGAATTGTAAACGGTCTGATGTTTATTTAGTAGTCACTTAATAAATAGCTTTTCAGTGTTATCAAAGTTCTGTTAATTTAGTAGTCACTTAATTATACTTCCATAATGTTTAATTATATTTGTATATCCATAATCGGTCAGACTCTACGAAGTGAGTGAGTGATTTAAGACTGTCATGAGTATTAATTGGTTGACCATCGAGATTGGACATTACAATAGAGATTGCGCTAACACTCATGAGTACTTGAGAATGGAGATTTTAGTATTGAAACAACTTGCACTTAGAAATTACTTCATAGATCTAGTCATGAGTAATTTTAAGATGAAAATATCTTTATTCTTCAAACCGAGATACATATGGATTTTTTTTGAAAAATTTGTTGTGCATTGGTGTGCTCCAACGCTATCTGTAATTCGTCGCAATAAAGGCTATTCCGTGTATAAGTAGACAAGTAGATAAAAATTATGTAGTCAAAGTTTATTTGTTCATTATCTTAAACGGGAAGCGATATATATATATATATATATATATATATATATATATATATATATATATATATATATATATATATATATATAGTCACATCGCTGATTTGGTGCTGACATCTAAAGTGTTTAGCCGAGCCATGACTAAATTGGTGTGTTCGACTTAGAAGTCAGATGTGATCGTCAGAAATCGTTAATTGGGATACAAAATTTTAAACCATGAGATTAATCATTAACCATGTCTCATTTTCATAGATATATTTAGAACAAAGGAATATTTGTTCACTTTTCTAAGGACTAAATTTTGATAATGATTAGATTTTGGCAGTCGCATTGGATGTCTACTTTTTGTTGATTGTTAGCGAAAAATTAAGACCGTGAGAAGTTGAAGACTTGTGTAAGTAGGAGACTATTGGAAATGTTGTGCAAGGTCATTAACTGTTTTGGTAATATTTCTAATAATAACAGGATCCTTTTGGGTTGGCCTCATGACATAAATAACATTAAGGACATAGAGACAATTAGTTGTTAATTTATAAAGGAATTAATAAATTAATTAGAAATTATTTTGGAAAATTAATTATTATTTTTAATTAATTAAAGAGTTTGAATATTAATTAAATCATATAGATTAATTGGAATATTCTAGAAGCTCTCAAAAAATGTATACATACGGTTTTGATAGGCTCCATGGATAAGGATATGAGAGGTTTAAATAAGATAAGGATAAACTTAAAAAGTTTGAATCCTTTTAGGATTCTTTATGTAACCTATAAATAGACTGCTATGGGTCAAACCTTATAGTTTAGTTTTTCCTTAAAAATTTCATACATAATTTGTCTCTCATGCCCCTCATATGAAATTTCTAACCTCTCTCCTAGGGTTAGAAAATTTCAACTAAACCCTATTCTAGGGTTCTTCATTTTTGCTTTTGGAGTTTGTGGGTCTGACTACATTAGAGAGATTCTACTTTGGGTCTTTCATCATTTTCATCAATTGGCATTCATAGGATCTCAATAAAAAACAAGAGGTTAGTATATCTTTCTTTTGTTGATTTTTAAAATACGTTGATATAACTAGTAAAATATAGATCTTAAGGTGCATGTACACTTAGGTAAATCTCTAGATTATTCCACCACCTTCTTGGTGTGTATTGATGCTAATAAAAGTCAAACTTTTCTATATTCGTTTTCTATTTCATTTCATGCATTTATTTCATACATTGCATATCATTTTGTGAAAAATATAGTTTGTTGGAACACAATCTACTTTGGGATATTTTTGGTTGTTTTTTGTAGGTTTGGAGCGATTGTGGTTGATTTTGGATGCTAAAGGAAGCCCGAGAGATGATTTGGATGCTAAAGGAAGATCGGAAGATGATTTTGTACATTGAAGTTAAAGTTGGAAAATGCAAGTTATCATCTTAAGATGTTCATGCTTAGTTTAAAAAGGAATACCATGCAGTCGTGCTGAGGCATATTCTAGAGGCTTTTTATGGACCACACAATCATGTTTTTTAGCCTATCTAGTAGCACAATCATGTCGACATGAAAACTTTTTGTAACCACACATCCATGCTATCAACATGATTTTGGGTCATTTTGACCATAAACTTCATTTTAGGGAAAATTTTATGGAGCATTTTAAAGGGGAATTCATATATCTCAAGTCTATTAATTTCTTTTGATTGTAAGTTTGATTTTACATTTATCTCTTATATTACTTGAAGATTTAGTCATTGTGTAAGGCTAAATCTTACAAATTCCAACATTAGGGTTTATCTTTTGAAGTATGATTCAAACTTTTGTGTGAAGTAATTATGTTAGATCTTCTTGAATGTTTTTTTTGTATGTTTTCTTGTATTCAATTTTGGATTTTTTTTTCAGAAACATTTTAGATTGTTAATGAAATTGATCACTTTGTTAATTTTCTACTAACATTCTTGGGAATAATTAATATGTTTTTTTTCTATGAATTCAAATATATTATAGATTCATACACTATAGTTAAAACATTTCGAACGGAGTGAATGGTTTAATATAATTGACAGTTCCATCATTATCAATGTAATGTGTACCCTAAATCAATATTGCTAGAACTTAGTGTTGCATATTAGGTTTAATCAATGAACTACATGTTAAATACATACATGGAAGATTGTTATAGCGGCCAAAAATCACATGCTAATAGAATTCACTTTTTATAAGATCATTGCACCATAATTATTGATGATCATAACTTGAAGCAAAACAATAGATAATCCTTATGCTGTAATGCTTTTTATTATTTGAATTTATTTTTTAAATACGCTTCATGCTAGTTGTAGTAGTTTCTAAAATCAAAACCATTGTTTTTATTTTGTTGAAGTGACAATCATACTTGTAATTGAACATCTTTGGTATAATTTATTAATCCATTTCCCTAAGGACACGAACCTTACTTCCATTCATACTAATCCTTAGTGTGTCTAAGTTCGTTCATCTTTTATCATATTTTGATAATTTATTTTGTTGGATTCGACACCCAACACTCATCTAATATGTTTAAAGCTTGAGAAATCTCTACATAAACACAAAACATAAATGTTGTTAGCCTTTAGTAAAATGTAATAATCATATCAAAATTGAACAAAAATTGAAAAAAAAATACCCGAAGCTACACCATCATCATTCAAGATGTCGTCAATTTCATTTATTATCAAATTTATAGACTTTCTCACCCATTCTTTAGCGCATAACAAGTCTACAAGTATCAGCATGGAAAAGGAAAAGTTGAAAATGATGAAAAGTTGAATATTTTCCAACCTTGATATGCCGACTTCGGGGTACTGTACCTTATTGAATATAAAACTATAAATAATGAAAGTCTTGTCTAAACTTAAGTACAAGCTCTATATTAAATGTTGTAAAAGACATCATATAAATCTAACTTACAAAATAAGATATACATATTTTAAACTTGGAACCAGCCGGACCGACCCGGTTTTGTACCCTGATCATTTTCGGATGATAAAAAGAATCAAGAAGTGACACTAATCTAATAAAATGATTCAGGTCTGATCCCATTCTGGTTCGAAGGTTCAAATGTTCACCTCTATATTACTCCATGAGTAGGGATGTCAACAAGACCAAACGGAGACGAAAGAAGTCTCCCTTGTTCTTACCCACGAAGTTTCCCATTTTTCTAGCTCCCAACCTTGCCACTAAATTTCAAGATCACCCCCTTTTCCGTTGCCCATGTTTTGGCATGAATCCCCCATTAACTGTGTTTGTCCCAAAAGTCCTCCATTAAAACCTTATTTACCATTGTTTTACTTATTTGTTTCGTTTAATCGTACATATTACATTAATTATTCAAATACAAAACATATATTACATAATGACTATTCTAAGTTTAATAATTTGTTTATAAATAAAAACAACTAATTATAAAATAATCATTCCAGGGTCCCTGCGAGCTATTCGAAAATAGGAATCTACGCCTTTCCTCGAAAACTAAACAAGGTTCAAAGTCGCATCCATCTTGAACCCGGAACATTGTAAGACGATTACCACTCTCCGAATGGGGTCGGTGGAGATGGTATGGAGGGAGACGTTGACACCATATCCATGAGCCCAAATTTTTACATCTTTCTATAAGATACAAATAAATCTTAAATATACATTACGGTTCTTGTCAAAATGTTTCTAAATTCTCAATTTGAACACACAAATGAACGTCTTACCTATTTATTTTAACTTAAATAACAAAAGAAAATGTCTAAAATTTACTTATATTTTGAACGGAAAATACAATATATTCCTAAACTACTCATAAATCCACATATGACATATGTCTCAGACGAGACTTGAACCTTCAACCTCAAGGAGGAATGGCAACACCTGATACCGCTGGGCTAGAAGCTCTTTGGAGCATTTGGTCTTAAATTTACGGGATAATGACTTGAAAGGGTAATGAACTTTTGACTTTGTTCATATTTAGTTACTAAACTTTTTTTCATTATCTATTTGCCACTTAACTATTGAAACTGTTCACATTTTATCCTTATGACCGGTTGTTACCGGTCATAAGGGTAAAATGTGAACAGTTTCAATAGTTCAATGAAAAATAGATAACGAAAAAAAGTTTAGTGACTACATGTGAACAAAGTCAAAAGTTTGTTACCCTCTAAAAAAGTTCAATGACTAAATGTGAACAAACTTCTTCTTGTATTATGTTTTAGCAAATTATTTATTTTTGTTAAATTCTAGCAACATTTGTTGATGAAGAAATCTATGGAAAAATCCCCAAAAAATATATTAAAAAAACGAAAAACCGAAACCAAAATAAAAAAACCAATATCCCTGAACGAAGCTAAAAATTGAAGATATTTTGGATTTTTCAGACTGAAGCAAAATGTTTATACCATGTGTTAAGGGGGAGTTTTGGATAGAGAAATTCTAAATTGAGTGTTTTCTCATTCCCTTTTTGGTTTTATAATCATTTTTCGATTATAAATATATGGAGAGATTTAAATATGAAAATTCGAAAGTTGAATTTTTCATATCATGCGGACTTGAAGACTGAAGTGACCTCGAGTATTTGAAGTTTATGAAATGATTCAATTGGAAATTTGGAAGTGCTTTCGGTCCATGATGAATTTGGACTTACTGAAGATTCTTAGAGTGTGCATAAATGATCAAATTTTTTATAATTTTTTCGAGAATGAGAAACTCCTAATTACCTTTTGATGCTTGGTTTATATGGTCTCACATTCTGGAACCCATATTGAAAAGTCATGGAAGAATTGAAGATTTGATATTCATCTCTACATGTGTCACGTTTGAGGCTCGGTTCGTAAAGTTGCTCGAGTTTGGAAGATTTGAAGCGATTCATCCATTCCTAACTTTGAGTGGGAGAATGTTGGGTACAAAGTTATCCATGTATGACTTTGTAAATGGTTTGACTTTTGTAGACCCACTTGCATGTGGTAAAGTAGCATTGTGACATGAGAGAGAGAGAGAGACACTCGTTTTTGTAACACCGTAAATTTCAAAACAAATTTTTCAAATTTTTATAAAACATAATTCATTCAATATTCAGAAAACAACCATATTTAATTATCCAATTCAAGTAATTACAAAATCCCAAGATCTCAAATGCATAAACTTCGTGCGTGTGTACGGATCAAGCCGGCGCCTTCCCGCGGTCGTCACTAGTACTTGAAACAATAACATCAAACACTGTAAGCACAAAGCTTAGTGAGTTCCCCAAAATACCACATATAACACATATTAGCCACTCGAGGCTATAACTCTATGGGTCCGTGCACCCAAACTCTGTGAACCCTCAGGTTCTAACTCTGTAAACATGCACAACATAAATCACATAGAAATAATGCAGTACAACACATAACATACACAACATACAATACTCTATCACATAACTCTGGTTTACCTACTCAAGGTAAAGTATAGTGAGAAGACTCACCTCGCGTGTCTCGGTAAGTCGTAAATCCTGAAATCACTAGTGCTCGATCTCCCGAGCTATAGTCCTCCTAAATCACAATACATCTCTAATTAACACTTTCTCAACTAAGGTTGACTACTCTTTAACAAGTCAACTTAGGTCAATGCTGGTCAACGGTCAACTTTGACCGGACTCGGCGAGTGCACTATAGCGACTCGGCGAGTCTGAGCGTATACATTGATTTCCCTGAAATCCTCCCTTGACACGTCGAGTATTCTCCTAACTCGACGAGTTCCACTTGGCATGAGTTGTGGGGCCACCACGACTCAACTCGGCGAGTCTCAAGAACAACTCGGCGAGTCCAGCTTGACTCACTCGACCTGTCCACTCTGATTTCCCCCTGACTCACCGAGTCAACCCTCCCCAACTCGGCAAGACCATTCGCTGTGTGGTCGGGCAATATTCATACTACTCGTCGAGTCTGTTCTTCGGACTCGGCGAGTCCGTGCCATGCAATGACTCAAACTTGCTCATAAGGTCAGATCCAGTCCATTAACCCATAGATCCAATCCTTCCAAGCTTATTTAGCACGTAAAGTCACTATCTTGATGCACATACAATATCTATATGACCATATATGATGCTTTTGACCCATATACTACAACTCAAGGTCATAAACTCCATTGCTATACGTAAAGCTTGATGAGTGAGGCTCTCTGGACCTCTATGGATCCAAATCCAGAGCCTCAACACAAGAAGGGAACTATTTGGCATCAAATCAACCCAATAATGTCCATAAGAAACCCTAAATCCCATTATACTTCACAAAACAGAAGATAAGCCGAAATCATACCTCTAGATCGATGATCTAAGCTTCAAATCCACAGTATAGCAACCTCTTTTGCTTTCTCTTGCCTAGAATCTCCTCCTTCTTTGTTAAATGACACACACAAGGTCAATAAATGCTTCCTTTCTCTCTCAAAACGTTCAAACACTCAAGGGTTTCTCTCTAAGGGTTGGGTGAGCACAAATGACGGCCATAAGGCCCTTTAAATAGGTCTCAAATCTCGGAAATTAGGGTTTCACTACACAGCGTGGACTCGCCGAGTCCACTCTTGGACTCGCCGAGTCCGGACGCGAACCCGTGCCCAAAACCACGATCCTACTCGGCGAGTTTGAGCTCCAACTCGCCGAGTCCACTCACAATTCCCAAAAATAAGCCAAAAATAAATACCTGGAAATTCCGGATTGTTATAGTTTTTTATTTCGGGTTCGATTTTTCGTTTTTTTAAATATATTTTTCGGGTTTTTGTTTTGTTTTTTTTTTTTATTTCATATAAATCTTCATAAAAAATGTTGCTAGAATTTAACAAAAATAAATAATTTGCTAAAACATAATACAAGAGTAAGTTTGATCACATTCAGTCATTGAATTTTTTTAGAAGGAAACGAACTTTCAATTTTGTTCATATTTAGTCACTAAACTTTTTTTCATTATCTATTTACCACTGAACTATTAAAACTTTTCACATTTTATCCTTATGACCGGTAACAACCGGTCATATGAATAAAATATGAAAAATTTCAATAGTTCAGTAACAAATAGATAATGAAAAAAAATTTAATGACTAAATGTGAACAAAATCAAAAATTTGTTACCCTTTCAAATCATTATCCCTAAATTTACTTACCCATTTGTTTTATTTTTCCTTTTCGTTTCAATTTGTTGCAATGAAAAATCTATCAAACTGACCAAAAATGGTAAAATCTTAATTTAATTGATTAGAGATGTTGTAATATGGAAGTAAATATCTATCGTATAATTTATATTGTCATATTCAATTAATTTCACATTCAATGAATCCTCACAACGGACGACTAAAATATTTGTATAAATTCAACATCCCTAAATCAGAATCCTCACAACAGACGACTAAAATATTTGTATAAATTCAACATCCCTAAATCAATTTTTTTGTTTCATAACAAGTATGAACAACTTCACTACCAACACCATGGTATTCTTGCTTTTCCTCTTCCTCTCTCCATCCATTGTCTTTGGTACTCTCTCTCTCTCTCTCTCTCTCTCTATATATATATATATATATATATATATATATATATATATATATATATATATATATATATATATATATATATATATATATATATATATATATATATATTTCTCTAGCATCTTGTTAGTTGTTTTTTTAAAATTGTCTATAATATTTTCTCCCTTTCACATTACAATTTGATAGGATGTAAAACTTTATGCAAGATGTAAAATTGTCTATAATATTTCTCTAGCATCTTGTTAGTTGTTTTTTTAAAATTGTCTATAATATTTTCTCCCTTTCACATTACAATTTGATAGGATGTAAAACTTTATGCAAATATGTTTAACCCGAGTTTTCCAACATCGATCAATCACAATTCGTAATTAGTACATAATTTCATCTTAGAAATTTATATTTCATACCCAAATTTGGCTTTTCTAAAAATAACCAAATGGATTACCTTGTCCATAAATAGCAACCGATTTTGAAAATAAAATGTTTTTGTCTATGCATCACTAAATGTTATATCAATGCGTTCAATTTAGAGCAAAGTATGAGAATCTGCTTACTTGGTAGGATTGGTATAATCTTCTCCTTCGAAAATGTCTTAAATACTTGTAATAGTTTTGCAGTTAAAAAAAGGGGTAAACTCAAATACTTGTAATGATTTATATTCTTAGATTAAATTGCAATTTATTTGATTTTTTCTTTCATAAAAAAATTAAGTGATTTTATCTGGCTATTTATTTTAATTTTTCGGGTGTATAGGTTGGGGATGCCCAAGGTATTTCAACGTGGATAGTAATAAATGTTCAGATCAATATTGCGACGGTTATTGTAATTCTGACGCGTTTAGCGGTTACATTTGTCACTTACCCGGAATTTGCGAGCAACCGAGTCATTCTCGATGCATATGTAGTCTTCCGTGTGATGGAAATCCATTCAATGAACCTAATTGTTGCAAAAACCCGTTGGAAAACCCTAATTGCTTTTGTTCAAGAAATCCTGCTTGTCGTCCTCCTATTCAAGCTTAGTTATGATTCTCCATATGTAGTTATCAACTTATTATGAAAGAATAAACAAAATTTTGAATTGCTGTGTTTTTGCTTTTTAGTTGTAAACAAACCAAAGAAAAACTGCATGTGAATTGGACTAATGATTCTAAAAGAAATAAAAGTAACATTATACCAAATTATAACATTTATCATTAATTTTTTTTTTTTTTTTTTTTTTTACATTTGAAATTTATTTTTTTGAATTTGAATTACTTCCAACATTCTCATATAATACTTTCAAATGTTATAAGTACCGTAATACCATAGCCACAGACGTTAAATTTGATTATATAAAATATTTAATGATTAAAAAGAGTAAAATAAAATAATAATTATTGTATATAAAAAGAAAAATAATATTATAAATTGGTTTTAGTTATTGTTATGTTTTAGTTTTGTTTCATTATTTAAGTATACATTATTTAATTTAATTATGTGCTTATTATTTTCAAATAATAAAATATTTCCATATGTAGTTATCATCTTATTATGAAGGTAGTAATAGTCGACAAATTTCCAGGTTTTAAACAGTCATAACAAATTAAGACACGGTAAAATTAGAGGTGATAAAAAAAAAGTACACTGTCCAATCCTAATAAATAAATAATTGGGATAATTACTTGAAAGGGTAACGAATTTTTGATTTTTGTCACATTTCGTCACTAAACTTTTTTTTTGTTATCTATTTGTCATTGAACTATTGAAACTGTTCATATTTTACCCTTATGACCGGCTGTGGGTAAAATGTGAACAGTTTCAATAGTTCAATAGCAAATAGATAACGAAAAAAAATTTAGTGACTAAATATGAACAAAATCTAAAGTTTGTTTCCCTCTAAAAAGTTTAATGACTAAATGTGAACAACCCTCCTCTTGTATTACGTTTTAGCAAATTATTTATTTTTGTTAAATTGTAATAACATTTGTTGATGAAGAAATCTATGAAATAAAAAAAAACAAAAAAAACAAAAAAAACAAACAAAAAACAAAACCCTGAAAATATATTTAAAAAAAACAAAAAACCAAAACCAAAATAAAAAACCAATGGTTTTACATTTCCAAAATAAAAAATCAAAATTTCCAATCTGATTTTGGTTTTACAAAAAAAATGAACCATTCTCACTGATGTGAATTATGACCATTGGTTTGGCATGCGAAATTTGTGACATCCAATGAATATGTAGTTACAACATCGTTTGAACTCGTAATTCATAGTAAGGGGTTAGAGTATCATCGCATGAATACGTAGTTACAACATCGTCTGAGCTTGTAATCCATCACCTACAGGTTATGGGCCTGCTGGTGTTTCCACTGGGTTGTCTAGAATAATCCGTGGTCGCCATCTATACTCTGGTAGATGACTACATCGCCACATTGTTGGTTAAGGTTATGGTATCTCCTTTCATCCTACATCACATATTCATTGTCATCTATTTACCTAATTATCACCACCTTTCTATCATCACCTATCTCTCATCATTTTATTTCATCACACACCAGCTATTTCATCTATCCATGTTTCATCTGCAATATATTTGTAGATATAAAATAAATATACCGTCTAAATCTTTTAAAACATGTATAAAATCGTTCATCCATCATAGACAGCAAGTATTCAAATAATATGCACACATAACACGTAATGTATATAAAATACTTCATATCTATGTGTAAGATGAAAGTAACTATATATACCATAAAAATCCCATAAATGCTTCCTAACTTCGAACCCCAAGGTTTACTCTACTAAAGCTTCATATTCTCGGTTCTCTGAACCTAGAAGGGTCCAGATCTATCACACCAAAAAGCTCAAGATAGCTCTTCCTCTCACTCTACACACTCAAGCTCGCTAGGGTTCTCACTTATGGGAATGATAGTCGCAATTGAAGGCCATAAGTGCCTTTAAATATGGCTCGAGCCCAAAGATTTAAGGTTTCTGCCAACAGCGCGGACTCGTCGAGTCGCCTCACCGACTCGTCAAGTCCATTCATTAATCCGAGTCATCAGTCACGACCTTACTCGACGAGTTGAGGCGTCAACTCGTCGAGTCTCTCTTCTTAACTCAAAAGAAAAATACTTAAATGATGATACCTGGAAATCCGGATGTTACATTTTGTTTTTTTATTTCATAGATTTCTTCATCAACAAATGTTGCTATAATTAAACAAAAATAAATAATTTTGCTAAAACATAATACAATAGGAAGGTTGTTCAAATTTAATCATTGAACTTTTTAGAGGGAAACGAACTTTCGATTTTGTTCACATTTAGTCACTAAACTTTTTTTCATTATTTATTTGCCACTAAACTATTGAAACTGTTCACATTTTACCCTTATGACCGGTAACAGCCGGTCATAAGGGTAAAATGTGAACAGTTTCAATAGTTTAGTGGCAAATAGATAACGAAAAAAGTTTAGTGACTAAATGTGACAAAAATCGAAAGTTCGTTTCCCTTTCAAATCATTATCCCTAAATAATTCAATTAGGATTGGATTAAATTTTGGTTATTCACAAAATAATAATAAAAATAATAATAATAATAATAATAATAATAATAATAATAATAATAATAGTTGTTTCGTGAAATGACACATTATTCTAATATACAACATAAAATAATCATTTTATTTTTTATGGTTGAGCATTTGTTTTATGAATAACCCCATTTTTTTCAATATTTGAGGTTTTCTTTTTCTGTAAATTGACAATGGCAATCTGTAAAATTTGACTTTTTTATTTTTAAGGATTTTTTTATTATGACAACAAAAAAATTCATAAATTGCAAATTCTATTTTGTAAAATGAGTGCTATATTGTCCTTTTACACACACAAAAAATAATAATAAAAAAAAATAAACCACGTAATTTTTAAGTTTTTAGTGAAAACTTTTCTAATGGTTTATCAATAAATTAGAGGAATATTTGTGTTATGATTTACGAATAATAAAATTATATAATTAAAATTTAGTAAAAATATTTTAACCTCTATTATCATATGATTCAATTGTCATTACTCGTAACGACTGAATAAAAGTAAATATAAATCTTTACTTAATCTTACCTTTTAATGTTATGATCATTTTATTTAGAATTACTTATTTAACTTTTTTATAAGATAATATCATGTAATTTATAAGGTTATGTTATTTTTAACTATTATTATTGTAATTAAATTTAAAAGTAATTTATTTGGAAAAAATTAATATAAAAAACTAGTTTTGGATATTTTTATTTAATTTGACATGTTAATTTAGTTTTACATTAAAAATATCTAAACATTTTAAATTAATTAAAAAAATTGTATAATTTAAGTTTATTTGATATTTTGTTTATATTTTATATTCAACAGAATACTCAAATTAATATTTTATGTATATTATATTGATAATTCAAAATAGTTATCCTTAATATTTAATATGATAATATTTTATGTTTATAACATATCTAAATTAATAAAATACATATATTATAATGATACGTGAAGAGTTTGGAGATTTTAAATTCATATGGTGAAAGAAAAAAATATTTATTTTATAGTATAAAATAGATAGATAAACAAATAGATCTATTGATAGATTAAACAATGACAAAACTGCAAATTTGGTCCATGTGGTATGTCAAAATTGAGACTTCGGTCCAAAAACTGTAACATCCTGACTCTCAGGTATTAATTTGAAGTTTTTAAATTCATAATTTTATAACCTACCCGACGAGTTGGTTGCCCCAACTCGTTGTGTAGAATCTGATCAGGCCACGTGGTTTATAGAACCAACTCGACGAGTTGAGTCTGTTTATGAAAACACTAATTTTAGGGTTTACACAATATTTAAAGGAACTTAAGTTTCCCCCAGCCACCCTTGCCACTTTCACGTCCAGAGAGAAACCCTAATCGAGTTAACTTCCATTTTGAGTGTGTGTGAGGCTAAAGTGTGTGTGCTTGGTGCGTTTTTGAAGAGGCTTGCAGATTTAGAGGCTTGGAACGAGAAGAAGCTTGTAGATCCAACATCTACTTTGTTTTGGCATCAATTTGGAGCTAAAAAGTCTTTACCTTGGCTTTCCATTTCTTAGATATCTTCTTATGCAAGTATATGGACATTTTTTGTGCAAAATGGGGTCATTCTTGGGTTTGAGCTTGTCATGAGAACATGGTCTCAGATCTGGACTCCCCTAGGCCCTCATGTACATAAAGCCTCAAGCTTTATGAAGCTTTGGCACTTCTCCATGCCCTAAACCTCTTCCTAAGGCTATTTCATGTGTTTTAGCTTCTTGAAGCCTTGCATGCATGTGAAGTCAGCAACTTTACGTGATAACTACACCCTAAGATGATAGATCTATAGTTTGGAACCTTGGTTTCGCTTAAAAGAGTCTGAATGAGAAAAGGGCTAAAGGAACTAGACAAGTTGCAAAGCCAACTCGACGAGTTGGTTGGGGTTTACCCGCCTTCTGGATTCTGAGTAAACTCGGCGAGTGGGTGAGATGACTCAGCGAGTTGATGAGGGTTTTCCCGATCTTCTAGACACTGAAGAACTCGACAAGTTACTCAGGTAACTCGACGACTCGACTCGAGTTTTCGGTTCTAAGGTTCTGAAGGAACTTGATGAGTTACTAAGGTAACTCGACGAGTTGGCCCTAGTTTTCGGTTTCCGAGTTCTAGAGGAACTCAACGAGTCAGTGGATGAACTCAACAAGTTTGGTCAACATGGACTGTTGACCTTGATCGTTGACTTTGACTTTGACCAAGGGTTAACCAAGTTTGGCTTTGGAGGGTATTTTGGTAATTTAAGATTTTAATGGAATCAATTATATGATGGTTACATGTAGTTGAGTTTGGAGCCAAGATTTGGAGTTTGATCTTCTTGATTTCAGCACTACTTGTGAGATGAGTTGTCCTCACTATACTAACAGGGTCGAAGGCCGACCCTCTTTGGATTGGTATCATAGTTATTGCATGATGATATACTATGTTAGTGACTTGTTAGGTCGGTATCCTAATATATAGGATAATGTTATGTTAGTGATTGGTT